AAAAAAAAAAAAAAAATCTTTCAATTCACTGGCATTAAGGGCTTTACATATCAAAGGGTCTCATTTTCGTATAATAAAAGTAAATGCTTATCTAAAACGCTCGACTTTGAACAACTTGATTTTTTTAAATGCTCCACCAAGATTTGAAAGTTGCTAATGTACTTTTTTTTCTTCTCTCAAACTTTATTTTTAGTTTTTGGGCAAATGGAAGTTGTTTGGAGACCCATTGACTTGGTTAGCTATGGTTCTTATATGCAGTTTACTTTTCTTCACTTCACTTCTTGGCCTTGGTCCAAATCTCTTGGTACTTGAGGAATTGGATTTTCTTTTGCAGGGTTTGTTTTTCTTTTTCTTTTTTCTTTTTTTTTTTTTTTTGGGGGNGGGTGGGATATGTGTGGGATGATCTCTCATTGTTTAGTAAACTGATGCTCTACCTCCACCATCATCGGCATAGTAATTTTTTTTTGTACTAATACTAGTCTCTGTTATTTCTTTACCCGATGTAGGTTGCTCGGCTACAAAACCAAAGCATATAGCTCTTCTGCTTCCATGTTTCATGCATTGTTTGAATGTTCTTCATTTTGTTTCATGATCTTGCAGGGTTCTCAGGTTCAGTTTTCCTCTCGTTCTGACTGTGTATATCCCAGGAGTCCAGCTCTGGCACTTGGATTAACTGCGGATGTGGCTCTTATGATTGCGCAAATTATCATCAATGTTGCAGCTGGGTGTTTCTGTTGCAAAAGAGGTCCTCATCAGTCAAACTCTAAATGGACACTAGCACTTGTCTGCTTTGTTGTCTCCTGGTAATATGGAACTTTAATTCCAAATTTATTTTGATATTGTTATTTTTTGTCTGAACACATGGAATACACAACAAACTGAAATAGATTACTACTGTTATCGGAATTGTGATGCTTGCTTTACTGCCAACACGGGTGTCATTGGGTTGAAGCTTCAAATATTATCACCAACCCAGGTGATTTGGATAACACAATGTAGATTTTGGTGATTGGCTTACTGTAATAGGGCCGAATGGCATGACAATCCATTCATATAACCTTGCCTTGTCTTTAACACGGTCTTCCAACACCTTCCACCACTTGGTGGTATCCTGACTTTAAGTCTATCTTGGTGAAGTAACGGGCTCCCTCAACTAGTCAAATGGGAATCAGACATCTAAGCCAAACTTTTGATTGTGTACTTGCGTTTGTTCTTAAATTGTCCACCATTGAATCCATCATAAAATCAAAAAAAATTGACACAAATCAGTATGCAAGGCATGCCAGCGGAGCAAGCCAAGGTTTTTATACTTGAAGCTATGTTATGATGGCTGCCTTCTTCCCAAGCAATCAACTTTTCTGTAATTTTTCAATTGCATGAGACCTGAGACAAACCTAGAAATTAATCATCATAGCATCTGGAAATAGTGGCCATGATGTACATGGCACTTAGGAGGAAAGTCATAAGTAAAGATTCTTAGCTTTTTGGTTGCATACCCATCTTCCAACCTAATTTTGCCTGGTTTCTTTGCAAAAAGGGGCAGAGTTGACAGTTCCATTGCATGCAGGTTCACTTTTGTTATTGCATTCCTTCTGTTGCTAACTGGTGCGGCACTTAATGATCAACATGGCGAAGAGAACATGTACTTTGGCAACTACTATTGCTATGTTGTAAAGCCTGGAGTCTTTGCAGGAGCTGCTGTCTTGTCTCTTGCAAGTGTTGTTCTCGGAATTCTCTATTATCTCACCTTGACTTCAGCAAAGAACGTGAATGATCCATGTAGTGGACTTGCAGTCCCTAATCCCAGTAGCATTGCCATGGGACAACCCCAATTACCAACACAAAACATTCACAATCCAGTATTTGTGCATGAAGATACCTATATGAGGCGGCAACTCACTTGATCACTTCTAATGGTAGCAAAAATCTCTGATCGGTCTCGTATGATTTCCCTCTGATAGTTTCAAAGATGAATATTGGACGTTTTCTGGCACATATTTTTGAGGCATACAAGTATATTTTTGTTGAATTATGTAAGATTGTTGGTTTGTGTTAGTGCAGAAAGAGCCTATTCTTCTCAACATCTCCATTAAGCCTGGTTAATTTGATTATTTAGCAAAATGACATTTCAAAGGTTAGGCATAGTGCAGATCACGAACAAATATCTAGTAAACCAGTAGAGGAATGAATAATTTGATTTATCGATTAACTTAGACAAGTTTTTAGAATAGCAAAATTGATTGAAGGCCCATTTACATGGTTAGCCACAATGAGTGTTGTTGTGTCCACGCCACGGGCAAAGGATGGGGAAAGGTTCCACCAAGTAAATGATTATATATGTACAGAGAATCTCCCCTAATGATCTACTACTGTATCACTTCAAAATTCAGAGTACAATATAGTAAGGAATAACAAGCAAAGCGGTCGAGCNTTGCATACCCATCTTCCAACCTAATTTTGCCTGGTTTCTTTGCAAAAAGGGGCAGAGACTCTTCNCTTAGGAGGAAAGTCATAAGTAAAGATTCTTAGCTTTTTGGTTGCATACCCATCTTCCAACCTAATTTTGCCTGGTTTCTTTGCAAAAAGGGGCAGAGTTGACAGTTCCATTGCATGCAGGTTCACTTTTGTTATTGCATTCCTTCTGTTGCTAACTGGTGCGGCACTTAATGATCAACATGGCGAAGAGAACATGTACTTTGGCAACTACTATTGCTATGTTGTAAAGCCTGGAGTCTTTGCAGGAGCTGCTGTCTTGTCTCTTGCAAGTGTTGTTCTCGGAATTCTCTATTATCTCACCTTGACTTCGGCAAAGAACGTGAATGATCCATGTAGTGGACTTGCAGTCCCTAATCCCAGTAGCATTGCCATGGGACAGCCCCAATTACCATCACAAAACATTCACAATCCAGTATTTGTGCATGAAGATACCTATATGAGGCGGCAACTCACTTGATCACTTCTAATGGTAGCAAAAATCTCTGATCGGTCTCGTATGATTTCCCTCTGATAGTTTCAAAGATGAATATTGGACGTTTTCTGGCACATATTTTTGAGGCATACAAGTATATTTTTGTTGAATTATGTAAGATTGTTGGTTTGTGTTAGTGCAGAAAGAGCCTATTCTTCTCAACATCTCCATTAAGCCTGGTTAATTTGATTATTTAGCAAAATGACATTTCAAAGGTTAGGCATAGTGCAAATCACGAACAAATATCTAGTAAACCAGTAGAGGAATGAATAATTTGATTTATCGATTAACTTAGACAAGTTTTTAGAATAGCAAAATTGATTGAAGGCCCATTTACAGGTTAGCCACAATGAGTGTTGTTGTGTCCACGCCACGGGCAAAGGATGGGAAAGGTTCCACCAAGTAAATGATTATATATGTACAGAGAATCTCCCCTAAAGATCTACTACTGTATCACTTCAAAATTCAGAGTACAATATAGTAAGGAATAACAAGCAAAGCGGTCGAGCTNTGTCTTGTCTCTTGCAAGTGTTGTTCTCGGAATTCTCTATTATCTCACCTTGACTTCAGCAAAGAACGTGAATGATCCATGTAGTGGACTTGCAGTCCCTAATCCCAGTAGCATTGCCATGGGACAACCCCAATTACCAANGTTCTCGGAATTCTCTATTATCTCACCTTGACTTCGGCAAAGAACGTGAATGATCCATGTAGTGGACTTGCAGTCCCTAATCCCAGTAGCATTGCCATGGGACAGCCCCAATTACCATCACAAAACATTCACAATCCAGTATTTGTGCATGAAGATACCTATATGAGGCGGCAACTCACTTGATCACTTCTAATGGTAGCAAAAATCTCTGATCGGTCTCGTATGATTTCCCTCTGATAGTTTCAAAGATGAATATTGGACGTTTTCTGGCACATATTTTTGAGGCATACAAGTATATTTTTGTTGAATTATGTAAGATTGTTGGTTTGTGTTAGTGCAGAAAGAGCCTATTCTTCTCAACATCTCCATTAAGCCTGGTTAATTTGATTATTTAGCAAAATGACATTTCAAAGGTTAGGCATAGTGCAGATCACGAACAAATATCTAGTAAACCAGTAGAGGAATGAATAATTTGATTTATCGATTAACTTAGACAAGTTTTTAGAATAGCAAAATTGATTGAAGGCCCATTTACAGGTTAGCCACAATGAGTGTTGTTGTGTCCACGCCACGGGCAAAGGATGGGAAAGGTTCCACCAAGTAAATGATTATATATGTACAGAGAATCTCCCCTAAAGATCTACTACTGTATCACTTCAAAATTCAGAGTACAATATAGTAAGGAATAACAAGCAAAGCGGTCGAGCTTGGGATGAATAGCAAGAGACTGAGCATTTGCTTCCAAGTCCTGCCCATCTGTAGGAAAATGAAATTAGTTGCCGAAAATAATAACCAATCAATCAATATAGAAAAAGAAATATTTACCTTTATCTTTTTCAACATTTGCAAATAATGAAACTGATGTCTGTCATGAATGGATTCACCCTGTTTTTTAGAGATTCTGTATCTTATGTGTATCAGCCCACTTCTTTACAGTCAATTCAACGAATGCGATTCAAGTGAGCAAATGGCTCGGGATTCGCCTTTGATGCAGGCTTTGCTACTTCAGGAGTCCCAAAAACATTCCAGAATCTGAGAGTTTCATCCCCGGCTGCAGATGCAACTGTACATCCATCTGGGCTCTGATTAACGGAACAAAACAAGAACAAAATCAGCATAATATGTTAATAAAAATATCATATGATAAAAAATTTCAGCTCAAGCCAATGTAGTACCTGAGCCATGAAGAGAACCCTGGATGTATGACCAGTAAGCTCTGCTACTTTCACCATTGACGGGTATTTCCAAAGAGTGAGTTGATTCTGGGTAAAACCATGAGAGCTAAGCAGCTCACGCTCATTCTTGTTCCACAATAGGGCACAGACCTGAGAGCCCGTGTCAACTGAGTTCAAGCACGCACCAGTATGGGTGTTCCAAAACTTTATGCACTTGTCACCTCCGCCACCACCGGAGGCCAGTAAATTACCCTGGAAAGGGCACCAGGCAAGGGCTTTGACAGCAGCTGTGTGCTCTTCCAGCCTATGAAGCCACTGGGTTGGAGAATTGGAGGAGGCCATGGATCTGTCCCAGATGTGGAGGAGATTATCATTTCCGCCGCTAGCTAACTGCTGGCCTGAGGCTGACCATTTAAGCCCACAAACTTCTTGATGGTGTCCCCTGTAGGTGTCAATAATATGCGCTCTCACCCTTACATCATTGTTGATAATCTGACCATCCATTCCTCCAGTGGTCAAAATGTGACTGTTCCAATCCAGGGATCCAACTCTTGATCCGTGGCCGCCTTTCAAAGTTCTTAGCTATAGGAATTATAGACAAAAAATAAAATCAGTACAGGGTATGTTCCCATTAGGAAAATAGAAAAGGGAATTTCAAACTTTTAGGAGATGCAAGCAACTAACCAGTCGATTAGCTGTAGAATCCCAAAGCTGGACGTCAGAATTATTCAAGCCAACAGCAATATGCCGTCCATCAGGAGCCCATTTAACGCTTGTAATAGGGCCATTTTCATCATCAACAGTGACAAGTTCTGAGGTAGCACCATCAGAGGCATCCCATAGGTAAACTGTACTTCCAAGGGCAATTGAAAGAACATTGCTGCTGCCCCAATCTAATAAATTCAAGTAGTAATCATCTACAAGATCAGGAGCATCCAAAGTTCTCTCGGAGGTCTGCACAACATAGAAAAGTAACCATTTAAAACTTAAGCAACAATATAAGAATCAGTCAAAGTGACATCAGAATAGAATCAAAGGACATATCAGGAAACCAAATGGAAACTACTGTTTATAGTTATCAATTTGCAGGCAAGATGATACTCTGAACTTCTCAACCAAGATGATACTCCATTGGCAATGACGGTAAATTATTGGTTTCAAGTCCAATTGGGGCAAAGTAAATTTGATACTTATACAACACAAAAATTTCTAAGAATTTAAAAATCTCTGGATAACTTAAACACAAACCCACCTGAGGAATATATCTCCGAGACTTTGTAGGTTTGGACTGGTGAACAGCCGAGGAGAAGTCATTGGGAATTGCCTCCACTGGAGTGGGTGGCTTGTTCTTGAAAGCCAGTATCCGTGTCCGGTTCATGTTGAAAGTTTCCGCCAGTTGTTTCCTGTAAGCCTCTCTGGATGGGGAGTTCACAGCTGGGTTCTCTTTCCTCCCTTCCGTCAGCATGTAATGTGCATAGTCAAAATCCATAGCAGATCGATTTGGTATGAATCTGTCCAACTGATGATAGCCAAGAGAAAAAAAAAAATCATAAACAAATAACACCAATAATCACTAAGCTATCCAAACTTAACAAAATTGACATTAGACATACCCTATTTACTCCAAAAAAAAGAGAGAGGAACCTAGCTTTACACATCAAGTTACTTATAAAATACCAATTCGAAACAATGCCACAAATTTCATATCAGATGAAGATAAAACCCTAGATTCCTTATTTAGTCCATAAATAAAACTCGAGACACATAAAAATTTAAAAGCAAATTCAATATAAAAATCAATTTTGGCTTCTTTGGACATACGAAACCCTCTGCGAAGCGCATGAAAAACCACCTCGATTTGACACGCCGAATCAAAGTTCATGATCGAAAAAATGATGCGATAACCCAAATAGAATATAAATACATAGGAATCGAAATTGCAACGATAAATTATCTAAGAATATAAATTTAAGGGAGAAAGTTGCACCATAAATTATGTAAGAATATAAATACAGATGATGAGATACATACATTATCGCGAGAATTTTTTCTTTGAAGGAGTTGCTCCTGAAGAGGGCATCGAGATTTTGTCTTATTTGATGATGAAGAGTTCACAGATCCTGCATCCATAACGTTAGAAATAAAAGAGAGAGAGAGAGAGAGAGAGAGCCCTGCAAAAAAAAAAAACACAGAAACAAGAAACCAGGCCTACAAAACAAAGATCAGATTGAAGTAACCAGCATTCAACAAAAAATAGAGAGAGAGAGAGAGAGAGAGGAGGTGGCTTTTGTTGGAATTTGAGCGCACGGAGAGGACCGAGCAGTCCTAGACAGAAATGGAGAGAGAAGTATTGTAATTCATCAGTTGAAATGGTGGGTTTATTTATATGTATAGATTTCTGATTTCATGCCCTAGGGTTTTCAATGTATTGGCTGGTCGTTCCTCGTATACTCTTTTCTCTACTTGGAGAATCGGCAACGGCTATATTCCTGAAAGAGCCGTTGTAATTTAGTTTGACGAAAAGACCCCCGTATAGGGTACTGCTTATGTGAGAACACTGTGATGCCATTCTTCCTTCAGTCTAGGGGTATTTCTGTAAACTAGTTCACGAAATATTTTGGATGGAGTTGTTGCGACTCGGCCAGGATCTAGGCTCAAGCGGGCCTAATGGACCATCTCTTGTGATATGGGCCCTACAAAATTGAAATCATTTGTAAATGTTAGTTTATGTAGTAAAAACAACACGATGTTGCTAATATATAATTAAGTAAAAATAGACTCTAGTCTTCTCATGATCATTGCATTATATTTCAAGTTTATTAAAACATAAGTGAATAATTTAACTTACACCAATTACAAAAAAAAAAAAAAAAAAAACATTGGCTATTGTCATAAATAAATAATCCTGATTATACTTAAAATTAAAATCCAAAGTACAATTTTTTGCAATTTTTCTAAGTTTATTAAATTTTTGCAATACTTTTTTCTTCTTTTTTTGGTTTTTTTTTTGGGGGTAGGGCGGGATGACGAAAGACAAGGTTTTTTATATGGTGTGAGAGAGAGAGAGAGAAGTATTATGTTAGAATATCACGTCTACAATGGAATCACTTCTAATGTGTCAATCAAAAACTGTTGAAATAAAAGTTTATTAAGAAAACGACANGCAACGGCTATATTCCTGAAAGAGCCGTTGTAATTTAGTTTGACGAAAAGACCCCCGAATAGGGTACTGCTTATGTGAGAACACTATGATGCCATTCTTCCTTCATTCTAGGGGTATTTCTGTAAACTAGTTCACGAAATATTTTGGAGTTGTTGTTGCGACTCGGCCAGGATCTAGGCTCAAGCGGGCCTAATGGACCATCTCTTGTGATATGGGCCCTACAAAATTGAAATCATTTGTAAATGTTAGTTTATGTAGTAAAAACAACACGATGTTGCTAATATATAATTAAGTAAAAATAGACTCTAGTCTTCTCATGATCATTGCATTATATTTCAAGTTTATTAAAACATAAGTGAATAATTTAACTTACACCAATTACAAAAAAAAAAAAAAAACATTGGCTATTGTCATAAATAAATAATCCTGATTATACTTAAAATTAAAATCCAAAGTACAATTTTTTGCAATTTTTCTAAGTTTATTAAATTTTTGCAATACTTTTTTCTTCTTTTTTTGGTTTTTTTTTTGGGGGTAGGGCGGGATGACGAAAGACAAGGTTTTTTATATGGTGTGAGAGAGAGAGAGAGAAGTATTATGTTAGAATATCACGTCTACAATGGAATCACTTCTAATGTGTCAATCAAAAACTGTTGAAATAAAAGTTTATTAAGAAAACGACAAACCATAAGGTGAATACAACTTCCCTTTTTATAGAAGATTGACATTATTAACTCATTATAATTCAGAGAACACTACTCATAACCCAATTAGCTTCATTCGTATCACTATTTTAGAATTAGAAAAAAAGAATGCAACAAAATTATCTTCAATATTTCAAAAAATGGAAACAAAGGTGAAGTTGACTGTTGTCATAGATAAGCCTTTTTTTTTATTAGGCTTTATTTATGAGGGATACATGATAGTCTTCTTACTATTTTGATTCAACTTTTTAAACGCTTACATAAATTTTCATTGGTTTGAGAATGGTCTTGTAGTCCATTCCGAACTGTCCCAGCTCCGACAATAAAACCAGAGAATGTATGCAACCATGACAATAGGGGTTGAGATTTTTCAAGGGCTAGCTAGCCTTGGTTTACCCTGAGTGGCATTGTGTCGATTAATAGTCACGAAACCCATGACATCATTGTCAACCATTAACTAGTCCAAAACCATCCCTAGTTTGTTTATTACTCAAACCTACTTACATTCAGTTGTTTATAAATATTTCTACAATTACAATTAGGTGGACTTAACCCTTTACCCAACTAACATTTAACCCTGAACCTGAGACCATCAAATATAAATGGTTTTATTGTACCGACAAATGAAAGAATATGAACCTTGAACAACTCAATCTTCAGATGATAAAGACTGCAACTGAATGGTTGTGGAATGAGAGAACTTGGGTGGGAGCCTCATCAGAGGTTCATCTCCACTCAGTTTTTGCACTGCCATCCCCAATGCATATCCCAAAGCACGTCCCACCGGGACAGCAACAGCATTCCCAACTTGACAGTATCTGCAAAGCACACAAATTATCGCAAGTTTTTGAACCATTAAGAGCCTGATAATCGGAATAAGGTGCACTAGATTAAATAGCCTGGCATTCAAGTTAATATATCATGGGAAACATGACATTAATGATTCTTACCAGGCAATAAAGTTCTGAGAAAGGAGAGATCATGTAAGTTAGCAACATTCTCACATTTTCCTTCTGTCAAGTATGAAGCTTATTTCAAAACAAGAAGAAATAAGGCTTCTTATTATATTGCTAGGTTTTCGGAATCTCCGACTTGTTACTTCAGCACCTGAGCTTTCAAATAATTTGGAGAGGTTGCTCATTTGCTTAATCAATTTGACTGAGGCTATTCCCACCACACAAACATTCATCCCCAGCCCAATAAACTTTCTTACATAAAACTACTANCATAAATAAATAATCCTGATTATACTTAAAATTAAAATCCAAAGTACAATTTTTTGCGATTTTTCTAAGTTTATTAAATTTTTGCAATACTTTTTTCTTCTTTTTTTGGGGGTAGGGCGGGATGACGAAAGACAAGGTTTTTTATATGGTGTGAGAGAGAGAGAGAGAAGTATTATGTTGGAATATCACGTCTACAATGGGTTCCATTGGAATCACTTCTCATGTGTCAATCAAAAACTGTTGAAATAAAAGTTTATTAAGAAAACGACGNTAAATCTACCCCATTCTATACCCACCCCACAAATGTCCAAGTAAACACCTTTCAGTAAACACCTTATTAATGACCAAGTCCACCACATTAACATGTTAAATACATTATGCTTTAATACATCTCAACNTGACTGAGGCTATTCCCACCACACAAACATTCATCCCCAGCCCAATAAACTTTCTTACATAAAACTACTAAATCTACCCCATTCTATACCCACCCCACAAATGTCCAAGTAAACACCTTTCAGTACTCACCTTATTAATGACCAAGTCCACCACATTAACATGTTAAATACATTATGCTTTAATACATCTCAATNACATTATTAACTCATTATAATTCAGAGAACACTACTCATAACCCAATTAGCTTCATTTGTATCACTATTTTAGAATTGGAAAAAAAGAATGCAACAAAATTATCTTCAATATTTCAAAAAATGGAAACAAAGGTGAAGTTGACTGTTGTCATAGATAAGCTTTTTTTTTTTATTAGGCTTTATTTATGAGGAGGGATACATGATAGTCTTCTTACTATTTTGATTCAACTTTTTAAACGCTTACATAAATTTTCATTGGTTTGAGAATGGTCTTGTAGTCCATTCCGAACTGTCCCGGCTCCGACAATAAAACCAGAGAATGTATGCNATTTTTTTTTTTGTTCCTACAGTTTTATGTTTTGTTTGATGGGTGCTATGAAGGTTGTTGAATGTGTGCATTATTAGCTGCAGGGTTGCTGACATGGCTAGCAGAGGTGGCTGCACATGTGAAACTGAGGCTGCAAGCTCATATTTGACTGCCAGGTGTCTTTAAGATCAGGTCTAAGAGTTGCAACTGATATTCAGTGCATTATATACTCTTTGACCAAGTTTTTAGGAGATTTGTTTTGATTTTCTATTATCTACTAGCTTTTAATGTTAGTAGCTAAAGTTTAGGAAGTTTGTTGCTTTTATTTCTGGTTTTTAGTTGCAAACTCATGTATTTAAGCAGATCAGTCTTTAATAAAAATAAATAACCTTCTCCCATTCTCTTTTGTTCTTTATATGCTCTCTTTCTCTTGTTCTTAGTTAAGTTTAACTAAGCTACAATTACAACAAATTGATATCAGAGCAGTCTTCTTAAAGGGACTTGTAAGTGAACCGAGTGAACCTCACCAAAAAAAAAAGGCCTAAACACCTTGCTTCCATCCATTAAATAAATGAATTCTCAAACACCATTCACAGCACTAGCACCACCAGTGTTTAATGGTGACAATTATCATGTCTGGGCAGTCAGAATGGAGGCACACCTAGAGGCAAATGATCTCTGGGAAGCTGTTGAGGAAGACTACGAAGTTCTTCCATTACCAAACGATCCAACAATGGCACAGCTCAGAAATCATAAGGAAAGGAAAGCAAGAAAGTCAAAGGCCAAAGCTTCTTTGTTTGATGCTGTCTCACCAGCAATTTTCACCAGAATTATGACCATGAAATCAGCATTTGAAATCTGTAATTTCCTCAAAAATGAATATGAAGGAGATGAGAGGATCAATGGAATGCAAGTGCTGAATCTAGTCAGAGAATTTGAGATGCAGAAAATGAAGGAGTCAGAGACAATCAAAGAATATGCTGATAAGCTTCTTAGCATTGTCAACAAGGTAAGATTACTTGGTTCTGAATTTTCTGATTCAAGAATAGTTCAGAAAATATTAGTAACTATCCCTAAAAGATTTGAAGCTACTATTTCTTCCTTGGAGAATGCTAAAGATCCTTCAAGAATCAGCTTGGCAGAACTTATAAATTCTTTACAGGCCCGAGAACAAAGAAGAATAATGAGGGCTGAAGGTTCTGTGGAGGGAGCATTGCAAGCTAAATTGCAAATCAACCAAGGAGAAAAAGGCAAGAAAAACAAAAACAAAAAGAAGAATTCTAGCAGACCAGGAGCAGCTGCTAACACCAGCAACAGTAGTGGAGGAAACAACAAAGAATTTCCTCCTTGCAGACACTCNCAGCTGCTAACACCAGCAACAGTAGTGGAGGAAACAACAAAGAATTTCCTCCTTGCAAACACTCTGGCAAAAAGGGTTCATCCACCTTTCAAGTGTTGGAGAAGACCTGATGTTAAGTGTGATAAGTGCAACAAGTTGGGGCATCATGAGAGAATCTGCAAAAGCAATTTTCAGCAGAAGAATGAGGCTCAAATTGCAGACCAGCAGGAGGAGGAATAACAATTGTTTGTAGCAACCTGTTCTGCAAGCAGCAGCTCAAGTGAATGTTGGCTAGTGGATAGTGGTGGTACCAATCACATAACCTATGATCAAGAGCTTTTCATAGGGCTAGACAGAACAGAGGTATCAAAAGTCAGAATTGGCAATGGTGAGCACATTACTCTCAAAGGAAAGGGAACTGTAGCAATTGAAAGTTGCACAAGTACTAAACTAATTACTGATGTTTTGTTTGTACCTGATATTGACCAAAACTAGCCNATTGGCAATGGTGAGCACATTACTCTCAAAGGAAAGGGAACTGTAGCAATTGAAAGTGGCACAAGTACTAAACTAATTACTGATGTTTTGTTTGTACCTGATATTGACCAAAACTAGCTAAGTGTGGGACAGTTACTTGAGAAGGGATTTAAAGTCATCTTTGAAGATAAGCAATGTCTAATCAAGGATGCCAATGATAAGGAAGTCTTCAGAATCAAAATGAGAGGCAAAAGCTTCTCACTAGATCCAATGAAGGAGGAACATGCAGCTTATCCCATTGCCATGAGCAACACAGAGACCTGGCACAAAAGACTAGGTCATTTTCATCATGCAGCAGTCTTGTCTATGCAAAGGAAGCAGCTGGTTCAGGGATTGCCTCACTTGGAAGCTGATATGCCAAATTGCAAGGCTTGTCAGTTTGGCAAGCAAGCAAGACTATCCTTCTCACAATCAACTTGGAGAGCAACTCAGAAGCTGCAACTCATCCACACTGATCTGGCTAGACCTCAGAGAACTCCTTCACCTAAAGGGAGTAAATATTACATAGTTTTCATTGATGACTTCACTGGAATGTGTTGGATTTATTTTCTCNAGCAACTCAGAAGCTGCAACTCATCCACACTGATCTGGCTAGACCTCAGAGAACTCCTTCACCTAAAGTGAGTAAATATTACATAGTTTTCATTGATGACTTCACTGGAATGTGTTGGATTTATTTTCTCAGATTTAAGTTTTCATTGATGACTTCACTGGAATGTGTTGGATTTATTTTCTCAGATTTAAGTTAGAAGTTGCAGGAGTTTTTTTTTAAATTCAAGCAGTCGATTGAGAACCAAAGTGGTTGCAAGATTCAAGTTCTAAGGTCTGATAATGGCAAAGAATATACTTCAGAACAATTTAATTTATTTTGTGATGAAGCAGGCATTGAGCATCAACTCACTGCTCCATACACTCCACAACAGAATGGAGTGAGTGAAAGGAAGAACAGAACAATTGTGGAAATGGTCCGGTGCATGCTCTATGAAAAAGGATTGCTTAAAGAGTATTGAGCAGAGACTGCAAACACTGCAATATTTCTGCTAAACAGCTTCCCACCAAAGCAGTGAATGGGAAGACTCCTTTTGAGGCCTGGTATGGTTACAAGCCTTCTTTGCAAAATTTTAAAGTGTTTGGATGCTTGTGTTTTATTCATGTGCCACATATTAAAAGAGACAAGCTTGATAAGAAAGCTAAGCCTGACATCTTTGTGGGATATAGCTCAATATCTGAGGCTTACAGAGTTTTCCAACCTCACAAGGAAAATTCTGATAAGCAGGGATGTGCACTTCATGGAGAATGAGCAATGGAGCTAGAATACTGCAGAAAAGAAGCTGATTGGTGATCCTATACAAAATCAGGATGAGTTAGTTGATGACCCTCCTAAGAGGCACTAGATTGCTCTCTGATGTTCACCAGAGATACAACGTGGCAATTCTTGAACCTGCAGGGTATTAGGAAGCTGAAAAGGATCCCAAATGGAAGGCTGCAATGCAGGAGGAGCTCTCCATGATTGAAAAAAATCAGACTTGGGAACTTGTTGAAAGGCCTGAACACAGAAAGGCGATTGGAGTCAAGTGGGTGTTTAGAACAAAGCTAAACGCATATGGCTCAATTAACAAGCACAAAGCGAGGTTAGTGGTAAAAGGGTATGCTCAAGTTTTTGGAGTGGATTTTTTTGATACATTTGCCCCTGTTGCAAGGCTAGATACAATCAGGCTGCTGTTAGCCATTGCAGCGCAAAAAGGATGGAAAATCTACCAACTTGATGTGAAATCAGCATTTCTAAATGGATTTCTAGAGGAAGAAATCTATGTTGAGCAACCTGAAGGTTTTGTTGTGGAAGGGCATGAGAACAAGGTTTATCTATTGAAGAAGGCTTTGTATGGTTTAAAACAGGCCCTAAGGGCTTGGTACAGCAGAAATTGATGAGCATTTGTTGGACTTAGGCTTTATTAAAAGCCTTAGTGAATCAACTTTATATGTCAAAGGTGATCAAGCTAACTTAATTGTGATCTCCTTGTATGTTGATGATCCTCTAGTTACAGGTAACAATGTTGAACTTAAACAGCAGTTCAAAGAAGACATGATGCAAGTCTTTGAGATGACTAACCTGGGAGAAATGTCTTACTTCCTTGGAATGGAGATTAAACAGGAAGAGGATAAAATTTTTGTCTGTCAAAGGAAGTATGCAAAGGAGATACTAAAGAAATTTAACATGGAGAATTGTAAAAGCATGAGTACTCCAATGTGTCAAAAGGAGAAGTTGTGCAAGGATGATGGAGGTGAACAAGCAGATGAAACTCTCTACAGAAGTTTAATTGGCTGCTTAATGTATCTCACAGCAACAAGACCAGATATCTTGCATGCTGTAAGCGTACTATCAAGGTTCATGAATTGTGCAAGTGAAAGTCATTTTAAAACAGTAAAAAGAGCTCTAAGGTATGTCAAGGGGACCTTAAGTTATGGTATCAAGTTCAGTACATGTCAGAGTTTCAAGCTACAGGGTTACTCTGACAGTGATTGGGCAAGATCTTTAGATGACATGAAAAGTACATCAGGCTATTGTTTTAGCTTTGGATCAGGTGTGTTCTCTTGGTGTTCGAAAAAACAAGAAATTGTTGCACAATCAACAGCTGAAGCAGAGTTTATAGCAACCACAGCTGCTGTTAATCAGGTCTTATGGCTAAGAAAAGTTCTAAGTGATTTACACTTGGAGCAAGGGATGAGTACAGAGGTGATGGTGGACAACCAAGCAGCCATAGCCATCTCCAACAATCCACCTTTTCATGGAAAAACAAAGCATTGCAGTATAAAGTTGTTCTTTCTCAGAGATGTTCAAAAAGATGGTGCAGTGTGTTTGAAGTATTCCAAGACTGAAAACCAGCTAGCAGATATCTTCACTAAAGCTCTTCCTAGAAGCAGGTTTGAGTTTCTAAGAGAGAAACTTGGAATCTCCAGCCACTGATGCAAGGAGCGTTGAATGTGTGCATCATTAGCTGCAGGGTTGCTGATATGGATGCTGACATGGCTAGCAGAGGTGGCTGCACATGTGAAACTGAGGCTGCAACTGAGGCTGCAAGCTCATATATGNGCTGACATGGCTAGCAGAGGTGGCTGCACATGTGAAACTGAGGCTGCAAGCTCATATATCACAGGTGTCTTTAAGATCAGGTCTAAGGGTTGCAACTGATATTCAATGCATTATATACTCTTTGACCAAGTTTTTAGGAGATTTGTTTTGATTTTCTGTTATCTACTAGCTGTTAATGTTAGTAGCTAAAGTTTAGGAAGTTTGTTGCTTTTATTTCTGGTTTTTAGTTGCAAACTCATGTATTTAAGCAGATCAGTCTTTAATAAAAATAAATAACCTTCCCCCATTCTCTTTTGTTCTTTATATGCTCTCTTTCTCTTGATCTTAGTTAAGTTTAACTAAGCTACAATTACAACAAAGGTCTTAAAAATATTGTTATATTTGTATCTTTATCAAGGTTGATAAGTTTTGATTTAGAGTTTATATCATATACATATAAGCTAGATTATAAGAGCCTTATTGTCCCTGTCAGTCATTTGGAACCGTGGCATACTACCTTTGCCTTTCCACCATTATTGTGAGTTTTGTTATCCTCTTTGTGCCACATTCTCTTGCAGACATCTCAGCACATAATATATGTTCAATTGGATTAAAAATACAGTAGTTCATAATGTAAGATCACACAGTTTACATCCTTCAATTGCTAGGCTTTACAGCCTTACAGGAATCTAGTAGAAGCGGAGCAATTTCTAGTTGGTTTGATATATGTGACGTTGATAGAACTACTTATATCAAATGCATGGCATGAGAAAAGAAATCCTTGTGGTGAGAAATTAGGGGAGTATAGTTTGTATATTTTTTAGGGTATGAATGAATTAATAGCATGGGTACAAAATGGAAACATGAAAGAGTTTAATATGGCGGGGATGGATATTTGCTAGGTGGGTATACAACCCAATCAGTTTTTCCAAACTGTACTGCTCTCTTTAACCAACAACTTTAATAGACAATAATCCTCACACCATCACCCAAAACGCATTAGGGCANAATATGGCGGGGATGGATATTTGCTAGGTGGGTATACAACCCAATCAGTTTTTCCAATCTGTACTGCTCTCTTTAACCAACAACTTTAATAGACAATAATCCTCACACCATCACCCAAAACGCATTAGGGCTAATCATAGGCAAGAATAATTGCAAGGGAAGAATTTTATGATGGTAGAACACTTTTTCCCAAATGGAAAAATTATCCTCAAAATTAAGGACCGGACCCATGCACATTTTTGCCTCTCCCTCACTGACCAACCCCAGGTGGCAGATTTTGATTCACTGTCATCACCAGATATATCTTTCAGGCAATAAATTTGGTTGCTCAAATTAACTACAATTGATCCTTCAATTTGGTGCCTGGAAGGGTAGTGGTTGCACCCATAAAATCATTTCTTTCCATATCTTCAGATACACCCTGTATAGGTGTACCCATCCTTCATAGATAAACCACTGTGAGAATTTCACAGTTTCCAAAGGTAAAAACTAGCAGGGGATAATGGCCCCCAAAAAACATGTTTTTGTATTTCTTGTGATAGGAAACAAAAAATTTGCAATGAATAGACTGAAGAAATAAAAAAGATGGCCATAGCTGGACAAGAAGTCCGTCCAAAAGCCAAAAAGCACACAAATACTGCAACACCCAAATAGTATTATCAATGCACACGATGCAGTCCAACTCGCCATGATGCAAAACAGAGGAACATTCAGAAGCTCTTTAGAACTAAAGCCTAAAACGAAGCCAAGAAATCAACTCAACAATACTTCCACCATCTCACTTTGTCCATAAAGATTCTCAAAAATTTCTTTCCAACCAAATAACCCACCCAATAGCCAAAAAAAAGCACATTGCCATAGAGTAATTCCTTTCCCACCTCTGCCAAAGCATTTGACATCCAAACAAAACATGCAAGAGATGAAGACAACGCAATAGGGCAATGCAAAAATATATGGTCCACACTTTCACTATCGACTTTTTTCATGACATACCCTTGCGGTGAAAGACAAGCATTGGGTCTAATGGAGAATACCATTGTAATTAACCTTGCCATGAGAAATAACCCGTGCACACACTAGCACCTTCAAAGGCACTTTTCCCCAAAAATCATGTTCTTCTAAGACTAGTATAGGGAAATGGGTTCTTGAAAAGGAAATCTTTTTAGAAAAATAAATTGCCCTGGCAGCATAAATTGCAGGTCACGTAATATCACCAGCCTAACTATAAGATGGAAGGAATCTCATGCCTACACAATAAGAAATAGAATTGGATTGGGGAAAATGAGCACATACCTTTCTTTCATATCTCCACAGAACTCATAATAGTCAGGAAACCCCTGCAGCCGTGCACACTCACGAATGGTAAGGACTCTATCTTGCTCAGGGTGTAAAATTGCCTGGGAAAATAAATATCTCACAACAAAATCCAAACTCTGAGTCAATCGAAAAATTGACCTAAGGCTACCTGGCTGTGAGCATCTGGTCTGCACAACACAGTTGGCACGGTCTCATCCCACCACAATCGTGCAAATGGTCTGCATTTTGGCAATGTAGGGGTGGGGGAGGATCTCATTAGAAACAGAACCTCTAAAAATGCTGCCACACAGCACATTCTCACTCTCACCTTAAAGACTTCCCTTCACAGTAGTTCATTGCCCAATCAGGTACCTAGCCATCACGACAACAAATTGCTAAGATGAGTGAGAAACATCACAATAGTAGCAACTATTATGGACAAACTATAGTTTTTTGCATGCCATGCCTTTCATGAAAGTTTAAACAAATTGAAGCAAGTAGAAACCCAAAAAAGAAAAAAAAAATGAGTCTCAAGTATCTCTGTTTAAAACATTTAGGGCATCAAACAGCAGAACAAGTTTTCTATTTTAACTCAATTCCTATGGCAGCATGTTTGGAAGAGAGTTGTTTTTCCGATAATTANCATCCAAACAAAACATGCAAGAGATGAAGACAACGCAATAGGGCAATGCAAAAATATATGGTCCACACTTTCACTATCGACTTTGTTCATGACATACCCTTGCGGTGAAAGACAAGCATTGGGTCTAATGGAGAATACCATTGTAATTAACCTTGCCATGAGAAATAACCCGTGCACACACTAGCACCTTCAAAGGCACTTTTCCCCAAAAATCATGTTCTTCTAAGACTAGTATAGGGAAATGGGTTCTTGAAAAGGAAATCTTTTTAGAAAAATAAATTGCCCTGGCAGCATAAATTGCAGGTCACGTAATATCACCAGCCTAACTATAAGATGGAAGGAATCTCATGCCTACACAATAAGAAATAGAATTGGATTGGGGAAAATGAGCACATACCTTTCTTTCATATCTCCACAGAACTCATAATAGTCAGGAAACCCCTGCAGCCGTGCACACTCACGAATGGTAAGGACTCTATCTTGCTCAGGGTGTAAAATTGCCTGGGAAAATAAATATCTCACAACAAAATCCAAACTCTGAGTCAATCGAAAAATTGACCTAAGGCTACCTGGCTGTGAGCATCTGGTCTGCACAACACAGTTGGCACGGTCTCATCCCACCACAATCGTGCAAATGGTCTGCATTTTGGCAATGTAGGGGTGGGGGAGGATCTCATTAGAAACAGAACCTCTAAAAATGCTGCCACACAGCACATTCTCACTCTCACCTTAAAGACTTCCCTTCACAGTAGTTCATTGCCCAATCAGGTACCTAGCCATCACGACAACAAATTGCTAAGATGAGTGAGAAACATCACAATAGTAGCAACTATTATGGACAAACTATAGTTTTTTGCATGCCATGCCTTTCATGAAAGTTTAAACAAATTGAAGCAAGTAGAAACCCAAAAAAGAAAAAAAAAATGAGTCACAAGTATCTCTGTTTAAAACATTTAGGGCATCAAACAGCAGAACAAGTTTTCTATTTTAACTCAATTCCTATGGCAGCATGTTTGGAAGAGAGTTGTTTTTCCGATAATTATTGATTTGCATAAGTTTCAGATAATTCTTGTGAATCTTCTATATAAAAAGTTAAGCCTCATACAAAGTTTGAAGACCAACCAAGTCCAAATGTATTCGAATAAGAAAGAGTTTGCTTTTCTAGCTATTGTTAAGTAACTATGATTATGAATGAGAACAGACTACAATTTTCAAACGCTTCTTGTCGACCAAATTATACGGATTAAGCCTTACTTGGCAAGTCCAATAATTTCAAAAAGGAACAAATAATCTGTTGACCAATGTACACACTTGGTCAAATGAGGACATAACTGCATTTGACAGTTACTGAGTAATTTGTTCTGTTTAACATTAGTAAAAATGATTTTTGTAATGATCTCTCTTCATCACGACAGAAAAGGGAAAAGAGGTAGGGGGAGCAATTGCAATTGCCTGACAACAATAACATAGATATGTCATTACACTTACCCATGGCTTTCCAGAAGGCATCAGACTCTGTCCCTCTGTCCGTTGAACAACATTGTCAGTTCCAACAATGATACCTGGGAGGTCCCTAAAATTTGCTCCCTAAAACATGAAAATATTGTCAAACAGCAAATATTCATGGTCAAAAGATCTACATTGCTAATTATACACCAACCTTCTTTCTTGGGATTTGACAAACTCGTAAATAGTCATCATCGCTGAGTGGAAGAGGCCGATGGTCAAATAGCACTGAATTTTCTGTTCTACCTGGGCCACTGCAAGCAAACCCCATCATATCTGGACATAAGCAAAGAACACTTGTCAACACTTCGTAAAAATATTCAAATGCATGATTGATATCATCATCCTTCTTTTTATTCAGCATCATTGGGAAAATCAAAAAGCTTAAGAAGAGACTTTTCTGAAAAGAGTTACAAGTGGATTCCACAAAATCACTTCCTAAATATGCTTGGACACACAATAACAAAAACTATAAAGAATCTGTAATTTTACAGTGGTAGAGTAGCTATGAGCTCAAATCTAATAATATACTATTATATAATACCAATATTTTGAACTAACTACAACTTTTAATGTAAGCAGTTGACTAAGATGCAATCAAATATGACTGAAATTAAGCACCAAAAAGTTCTAGTGCTTAAGACTACAACAAGCACTCAAAANATGCCTTTCATGAAAGTTTAAACAAATTGAAGCAAGTAGAAACCCAAAAAAGAAAAAAAAAATGAGTCACAAGTATCTCTGTTTAAAACATTTAGGGCATCAAACAGCAAAACAAGTTTTCTATTTTAACTCAATTCCTATGGCAGCATGTTTGGAAGAGAGTTGTTTTTCCGATAAATATTGAAGAGAAAATTGATTTATCATTAATTGNCAAAGCAAAAAGCAAAACAAAAACAAAGCATAAGCAAAGAAACCTGCATGATGTACTGAGAGAACTCTAAACCCCCCAAAATGCAGAGAACTAGGCACCAAGACTCCCCAAAAACTCAACAAAAACATTCAANTGCATGATTGATATCATCATCCTTCTTTTTATTCAGCATCATTGGGAAAATCAAAAAAGCTTAAGAAGGGACTTTTCTGAAAAGAGTTACAAGTGGATTCCACAAAATCACTTCCTAAATATGCTTGGACACACAATAACAAAAACTATAAAGAATCTGTAATTTTACAGTGGTAGAGTAGCTATGAGCTCAAATCTAATAATATACTATTATATAATACCAATATTTTGAACTAACTACAACTTTTAATCTAAGAAGTTGACTAAGATGCAATCAAATATGACTGAAATTAAGCACCAAAAAGTTCTAGTGCTTAAGACTACAACAAGCACTCAAACTTTTTGACAATTAAAAACTTACATTCCAACTAGAGAACCAAAAAAGGTTGCAACTCAGGTACACAGGAATATACACAAAGCAAAAAGCAAAACAAAAACAAAGCATAAGCAAAGAAACCTGCATGATGTACTCAGAGAACTCTAAACCCCCCAAAATGCAGAGAACTAGGCACCAAGACTCCCCAAAAACTCAACAAAAACATTCAATGAGAACAAAGCTCTCTCCTAAAACCAACAAAACAATAGTCTAACAAAAACATTTTCCAATCCATTATCGATGCCACCAGTCCATCAAAACGCCTTCAATCATGTTCTCACCAAATGCATACAGGGGTTGGTACCAAAACATCTAACCTTCTCTTCTACCGAATCTCATCCTCCAACAACACAACTCCAAAGATGATTTTGTTATTACACATGACATGACACCTCAAATAGGAGATAGAGAAGCATTCACAAATCACTAGCAACCAAACTTAACCTCTACATCAGAGATTATTAATTGTGAGAATATTGTATAGAGCCGCCATCCATGTGAAATTTACCACTTTGGGAGGGACTTTGCATTTCGAAGTAGCCACGGAAATGAATACTTAAAAGTCTGCCCCTGCAAAAATTCTGAAATTATAACTTTAAATTTTCCATTGATAGATGGTTCCCATCTCCAAAAACCTCCACTGTGGGTAGAATCTGAACACTCTGCAAAATATCCATAAAATCATCTACTTCCTCCAAACTCCAATCAAAGTAGTCCCGTCCCAAATAGCCCATAAGTAGAAAAATTCTCCCATCCTGTCCTTATGTTCTTCCACAATCCCATCCCATAAGACACCCTAACCTCATGCAGAATCCAATATCCCCTCCCATTTTCATAGTATTTCCATGAAACACTGACTTCTACATGCCAAAACTCCACAACCAGTTTTTGGATAGGGCTTGATTAGAACACTTCATTCTCCACAAATTTCATAATCAAGAGCAAACAACCTTCCAATACATCAAATGATAATACTATCACCCACTAAATCACCCCAGAGGAAATNATAGGGCTTGATTAGAACACTTCATTCTCCACAAATTTCATAATCAAGAGCAAACAATCTTCCAATACATCAAATGATAATACTATCACCCACTAAATCACCCCAGAGGAAATGCTTCTGAATTCGTCTTGATCGGATCACATAGCGTTAGCAGAGTGGTAAACTTCGCAGCAAGAGCAGTCTTTTACTTTACTACAGATAAACCGCATTCATCCAACCTCTTCTAAGACATCAAGTAAATGGGTGCCCTCAGCTAAGTACTTTTGGTCGGAATCTTCCACCTTTTGACTGGTACTAACTCTTCCATCAACATATCTCCTTTCAACCATATCACCACTGCATCCCACACTCATTTGTTTCTAAAGTTAGGGCCCAAAGAAAGTTAAGAAAGGTCATGGGAAGCATGGTTTAATGTCACGGTATCGGCCATCAACTCGGAGAGCTCTGAGACACATCAATCGCGACATCGTGGCGCGGTATCGGGTGATACGATTTAGAAAAAAATGTTAAACATGATGAGAAATTCAAGACATATCGCGGTGTTGTGGAACCATATCGATCAATTAGGTGACAATATTTTGGCGACTCAGGATTAACTTGAATACAACTTGAACGACTCAGCCGAGTTGTACGAGACTCGGAGTTTATACGTATTGTGTAATGGTATCATCTCCAAAGGTGTCGAGATAGATACAACTCGGCCAACTTGTATCAGTATCGGCCAATACTTTGAATCATGATGGGAAGAGCACCTCTTCTGCATTAGAAGGGCATTACCACAACAAAAAAAAAACTGAGTCTTGGCAGTTCAAGTGAAAGTTTATTAGACTAGTCCCACTAAGATGGCGGAAAAACTGACTTCCGGGGGAGCTGCTTTCGCCTTGGTAATTACGTAAGGAGAGAGAATTGATGCAAAAGTAGTCCTTTACATGAGTGAATGCCAAACAGTCTGCTAACTACGTTTTTTTATAGATTGGAAGCTAGAGAGAGACTACGGTATAGTGCCGCTACCAAAGAAGGTAGCTGTTCACAAAGGCTGTCAATCGTTATGAGCTTACTTTTCCCTTAATTTGTCTTCAAGCCTCAAAATTCTTGAAATGAAAGTATAACATTCTCAAGGAATGCAACTTCATCTTCAATGCCTCACAAAAATGAGGTCATCATCTGAAGAAAGTAAACAATCCACTAAAATTAGTGCCACATCTAAATACATCTCTCTCCAAAAACTATTAACTACCTTTCTCATACAGCTGTCTGGACTATAGCAATAAGTTTATAAACAATGCACACCAAGCTAATAGGCCTAAAATCATGTAGCTCCATATCCCCTTTTTGGCATAGGACCAACAACAAGAAGCATACAATCTTGTTGAGTTGAACATTCTAAAGGATAAACTATAAATTCATGTTCAATCTTAAAATCACCTATGACTTTAAGAACATTCAACATTTAGTGAAACACCAGCCAGACCTCACTACCAAATTTCTGAAGTGTGAGTTCCCTAGCAGCCTTAAACCCAGGTTTTCATTATTTTATTTATATTTCGTAGAGGTCTACCCTTTGAGCACTTAGGTTCTCAACTTGAATCTTATCACAACTTTTCATACAAGTGCATTCTTTCGTTTTTGTCATACATGAAGAAGCCTTTTTAAAAAAGGACTTACACTTCAGGTAAGCCAACAAGAAAACTTTCCTGTGTCTTATGCTCAATTGGTGTCACCTAAACTTTGGATCAAAAGCATTTATTCTTTTTTTTTTTTTATCTATTGCTTGGCTACTCATCCTAACAAGGTATATTGGCTGTACCAAATTTTCACATACATTGCTTCATAACCACAATTTTGTAAAAATTAAAAAAAATTCCGAGAAAATGGTACAAAGTTGGCTTAGTTATTTTNTGTATCAGTATCGGCCAATACTTTGAATCATGATGGGAAGAGCACCTCTTCTGCATTAGAAGGGCATTACCACAACAAAAAAAAAACTGAGTCTTGGCAGTTCAAGTGAAAGTTTATTAGACTAGTCCCACTAAGATGGCGGAAAAACTGACTTCCGGGGGAGCTGCTTTCGCCTTGGTAATTACGTAAGGAGAGAGAATTGATGCAAAAGTAGTCCTTTACATGAGTGAATGCCAAACAGTCTGCTAACTACGTTTTTTTATAGATTGGAAGCTAGAGAGAGACTACGGTATAGTGCCGCTACCAAAGAAGGTAGCTGTTCACAAAGGCTGTCAATCGTTATGAGCTTACTTTTCCCTTAATTTGTCTTCAAGCCTCAAAATTCTTGAAATGAAAGTATAACATTCTCAAGGAATGCAACTTCATCTTCAATGCCTCACAAAAATGAGGTCATCATCTGAAGAAAGTAAACAATCCACTAAAATTAGTGCCACATCTAAATACATCTCTCTCCAAAAACTATTAACTACCTTTCTCATACAAGCTGTCTGGACTATAGCAATCAGTTTATAAACAATGCACACCAAGCTAATAGGCCTAAAATCATGTAGCTCCATATCCCCTTTTGGCATAGGACCAACAACAAGAAGCATACAATCTTGTTGAATTGAACATTCTAAAGGATAAACTATAAATTCATGTTCAATCTTAAAATCACCTATGACTTATAAGAACATTCAACATTTAGTGAAACACCAGCCAGACCTCACTACCAAAATTTCTGAAGTGTGAGTTCCCTAGCAGCCTTAAACCCAGGCTTTCATTATTTTATTTATATTTCGTAGAGGTCTACCCTTTGAGCACTTAGGTTCTCAACTTGAATCTTATCACAACTTTTCATACAAGTGCATTCTTTCGTTTTTGTCCACAATTTTGTAAAAATTAAAAAAAATTCCGAGAAAATGGTACAAAGTTGGCTTAGTTATTTTTGCTAGCAAATGCTTGTTAGCTTCAGGTTTTCACATGTGGTTTCAACTTTCGAGCATGAAAACCCTTAGGGGTGATAAGTGGCTAAGCCTGACCTCTAGTAACCTAGAGGTCAGTATCCGAGTTTGAAAGAATAATCGGCAAGCCTGGACATCCTATAGCGAAAACAAAACTCCGAGCATGCATGTGACTACAATATCATAAATATGTAAGAAATTAGAGCATTATGAGAGAGAAATGCTAGCTCAAAACTGTTTCCTTGAATCAGGAAAGTATAAGTGCAATTTCAGATGAGAGTTTAGGGTACAATTTGCTATTTAAAGGGAGAGGCCAGTTTACCCGATTTAGTTGCTCTAATGTATTTTTGGAACTCAGTTTCTGGATCCCTTCTGTATGACATCTTATCACGGGTTTGACCATTTGTGACCTTCAAGTATTATTTTGTGAAAGGATGAAGTTTTATCATAAAAGAGAACGTAACTAACAAAAGAAAGAGAAAGTAAATACTAAAGAAACATAAGAGATGACATCACTGACAAGAGAATGTAATTATAAAAGAATGAGAAAGTAAATACTGGAGGAAGATCAGAGATGGCATCATTGAGAACAATATGTTTTTCTAGACCCCAAGGTTGACCTTCATCATAGGCAACAACATTGCGCTGCAATACAGAACTAAATTAGTGGGGAAAAAAAAAAAGTAAAACATCAACAAGCTTAATACAACAAGAGAAGCACCTCAAATTCACTTGGAGGCCCATATTTCAAGACCACATCATGCGTTGGGAGTGGAAACTGGGGCAATCTCTGCATACAGTGAAACAATCATTAGCAAGTGCATCTTCTCACTGTAGCGCACACGGTAAAAGAGTACTTACCTCGTGGGGGTGAGCGCCCCACAAGAAGACACGCAAACGGAATTGAGGAAGCCCATAACAACCAGCAGCCATAATTCCAAGCCTTGATTGGTAATTCATACGAACTAAAGAACTTAAAGCATATCTTGCAAGGCAACCCTTAGCGAACCTCAAAATGTCAACTACATTTTCCATTAGAACGTACTTTGGCCTCAAAAAGTTCACAATTTCCATGAAAACCATGATTTGACGGTTTCTTTCATCATCTAAAGGAGAATCAACATTTCTAAAGCGATTATAGCCACTTATTCCTTGGCATGGAGGGCCACCACAAATAACATCAACTTCTCCCTGAAAAATATTGATACCAACAAAAACAATACAATACATAAACCATCATTTCTAGAACAACAATCCTGTAAATAATTACAGATGCAAGATAACTAAGTATTATAACCAACTCTTTAAGTCAACTTAAGCTACTAGCATTATAAACACAACTCATACTGATCAATCTTACCGGACGTGGCAATATTTTTGACTTAATACCCTTCCGCACAAAATCTAATATCCGGTCTTGGCATTTGCTGAAAAGGGAAAGAAATGAAGGGAAAATTCTTCAATAAGTGATGCACTGCAAAAAATAAATGACAATATCCAAGTGTAGCAAAACCTTTCAAGAACATCGGATATAGCATACCTCAGCCCCTCAATTGACTCCCATGTATCCTCACTTGGACCATATCCGACCCAGCGCACCTAAAATGTAAGTGTTTAGTAAAGGGCAACAATTAAATAAGTATCATTTGTTGCACGTCAAATATGAAATAAAACGCATCTATATTTTATGCGAGTCCTGGGGGGAGGTAAATAGGACTATCTAAAAATTCTTGAACTTCCATCGTGGAGAGTTTTCTTTGTTTGCTTGGAGTCCTTATGCTTCTTCTCTCAATTAATTCAAACCAAAGGCATGATAGTTATTTTAGCATTTCGCTCACGTTGACAGGCTATGTCGGTTCATATAATGTGTGACAGATAGATTATCAAAGTGCTGATCATGAAATTCCAGAGGCAGAACAGAAGGTGGTCGACTGGCCTGATACCTATGAAGCACGGATACTCTCAAGAAGGTGGTGTATACGTATTGGACAACCACACTCTCCGACACATGTCCAATATTCTTTTATTGTGTCCATAATTAAATAATAAAATTTTAATTTCGAACACGCGTCCAACACTTCTTTAGTAAACTCTTTGGCAATTCTTTAGACCGTGTACTAAACAATAAACATGTATTGACATATAATTAACAAAGCTTAAAAATTCAACTCATATCTTACACTATGAGAGAATATATAATTATCAAAACTAGATATGATAAAGTTATGCTCAAAATATAATAATAAAAGTAAAAAATGCATAAAAGTTTTAAACAACAAGAATTGAGAAAACGAGAGCAATCATTTGACCTATAAATGTTGGAAAAGTTAACCTAATTGGTATCAGATCAAGGTCACAGGTATAAATCCCAAGGTAGTTGCTAGGGGGAGAATGTTTGCCTAGATGAAGGTGCAACAAGTCTCCCTATGACTCGATGGAAGAGTTTAACCAACCCAACCCTTGGACACTTGTTGCTGAGCTAGTTAAAAGAAAAAAGTTGCTCCTTCATTAAATGCTAGAACTTTTCAATGCTCAGTTTACTAGTTTTTGCTCCAAATTCAATTGTAATTGACTCTAACATGCGGCAAATTGATGTGTTCTTCCAAACGTGATTCAACATATAAATCAAGTATGATCACAATTCATTCCACAAGACTACATCAATTAAGTCCAAAATAATCATTTCTCATAAATTTCAAGTCCATAAACATAAATAATCATACATGGCATATTTTGATCACTTAAAACAAAGGACTAATCCATTTGTTTAAAAGTCCTGAAGTTTATTTTTTGATATGCATACCTGGAAGTTAAGCCCTCGCTTGCCGGTTTCATTAGGGTCACCATAGCATATATCAACAAAGCTTGCAACCTCATATTCACCCCTTGGAATTTCATTCTCAGATTTTGAGTGTGCATCTTTATCAGCCCCTCTCGTTACCCTAAAATTTGGTTTTTGTGTTTCTACGATTCTAGCTCCATATTTTTTGCAAAGTTTGTCCCATTCCTTCAATAGGTCAAGGAAATCCTCTGCAGGTTCATTCCTAATCTGTAAACAGAATCATGATACACAAAATGCCTATGATTGTTGTGCCACCGCAACTTGGATGTCTTTCAGCAGAAGAGTGAGAATACCCACTTGTGTCCCCGGATGATTTAACTTCAAGCTTTCACAAGCAGATTTATCGTTGTCAACAGTCCACTTCTGCCAAAAGGCAATGAAGCAAGTTATTTGTCATTTCCCAATCTAAGGCAAGTTGTAAAATCAAAGATATGCTAGAAATCAATACTAACTAGGGATTATTTACCGTCACAAGGTCTACACCAGAAAGTTTAGCACCAAGGCACAATCCCGTTGACATCCCACCACAACCAGAATATATATCTAATAATGTGAGCTCCGATTTGTAAGGTTGAAGGCTAGATATTCTGCCAAAATTAGCCTTGGCGACATTTTTATAACATGCCTTCATGTAAGGAGAAGAGGACAAATTACTACCATCTGCTGTATTATCTGGTTCAATCAGGAGATCAGGAGAAGTATTCAAGGAGCTCTCAAAAACAGTTTCTGTATAGAATTTGACTAACTCGGAATCAGAAAAGCAATAAAAGCAATGCTAATACTGTGCGACATCCATAGGATCGCCATAAAGGAAACAAGAAGGCAATGTATGCAAAAATTCATTATACCAACGGTGAACATGACAAATGGTAGGGAGGATACGTAAGAAGCTATACTAAAATAAAAATGAAATTTTGCATGCAAAAAAGCAGTTATGGGTCTTTAGAGTGTGATTAAGACTGCAAGGACATATTAGGTATTATGTTTGTTATACGATGTCATCATGATCAAAATTAAAATGAACCTTCAAAAGAAGTAAAGCTCTCTAGACCAATTCTTACAAGTTACTTACAACCCACCTGAAAAGAAAAAACGGCTTTAATTTGATTCATTTTCAGAAACAGTTGGATCGGCTGCTTTTGTTGTGCTAACAAAGCCCATCAAGTTGATTGGATGTGGATACATTTGTGGTTTGTTGCCTCACTTTTCACTTTATTTTATTATTAATAGCAATCTAATGAAGCACTTAATCTTGGTAAGGTAACTTCAAAGGCCAGATTAGTTGATCTCAACATTAACAAGAAGTAAGGAGAATATGAAATAAAATTGATGGATTGACAAAATAGGATCCCCATAGAAAAAGCTGATATTATGTGCAAAAACTGTTCTTCGAGCAGGTGTAATTGCCATACCAAAGAAAAAAAAGTAACATTTATCTTCATTACTTAATGCAAAGAACATAATATCTTTTAGTCATTACTTACGCTATGCTAAACATTAAATGTTTAACTAACTGCAAGCAATCATATCCTTCTTCACTATCTCATTTGATTTTAATTATAATATCCAATTTTCCCTAACCTTTCCGCTGAGAGTGAGAGTGTCACTCTTCATCGTTAGTTCACCTATCAATCTCCCTCACATATGTCCAAATAGTTTCATCGATTCTTTCCCGNAACTTACACTATGCCATACTCTACAAAAGTTCATAATAATATTTTTGAAGGGTTGCTATTTCATCTTTCATTTAAGAATTACCACACATAATTTCTCCCCCGTACCCTCATCTCTTCTCTTATTCTCGCATTTAACGATCTTCTCATTCATCATTCACGTGTTTCAATGTAGAGCTTATGGTGCAATCAAAGCTAGAGCATCTCAATGTTTATGAACTTGAGAGATGAGGGTATTTCCTATCTAGAGCATCTCAAGGTTGCTATTTCCTAGCTTCTTTGTAAGAGTCTCTCTTTGAACAAATTTCTCTCATCCTAGCCATGTTATTAGATTATAGCCTTAAAGACCTTGATAAGTTTAATAATTGGGGCAAATTGCTTTCTAAACACAAGGGTAATTTGCAAACGCACTAAACATAGGACAAGAATAGACTAGGTTCTCTAACAAAACTAGGGGTATGGACCATATGCGTGCAGCTNATTAAGTCCAAAATAATCATTTCTCATAAATTTCAAGTCCATAAACATAAATAATCATACATGGCATATTTTGATCACTTAAAACAAAGGACTAATCCATTTGTTTAAAAGTCCTGAAGTTTATTTTTTGATATGCATACCTGGAAGTTAAGCCCTCGCTTGCCGGTTTCATTAGGGTCACCATAGCATATATCAACAAAGCTTGCAACCTCATATTCACCCCTTGGAATTTCATTCTCAGATTTTGAGTGTGCATCTTTATCAGCCCCTCTCGTTACCCTAAAATTTGGTTTTTGTGTTTCTACGATTCTAGCTCCATATTTTTTGCAAAGTTTGTCCCATTCCTTCAATAGGTCAAGGAAATCCTCTGCAGGTTCATTCCTAATCTGTAAACAGAATCATGATACACAAAATGCCTATGATTGTTGTGCCACCGCAACTTGGATGTCTTTCAGCAGAAGAGTGAGAATACCCACTTGTGTCCCCGGATGATTTAACTTCAAGCTTTCACAAGCAGATTTATCGTTGTCAACAGTCCACTTCTGCCAAAAGGCAATGAAGCAAGTTATTTGTCATTTCCCAATCTAAGGCAAGTTGTAAAATCAAAGATATGCTAGAAATCAATACTAACTAGGGATTATTTACCGTCACAAGGTCTACACCAGAAAGTTTAGCACCAAGGCACAATCCCGTTGACATCCCACCACAACCAGAATATATATCTAATAATGTGAGCTCCGATTTGTAAGGTTGAAGGCTAGATATTCTGCCAAAATTAGCCTTGGCGACATTTTTATAACATGCCTTCATGTAAGGAGAAGAGGACAAATTACTACCATCTGCTGTATTATCTGGTTCAATCAGGAGATCAGGAGAAGTATTCAAGGAGCTCTCAAAAACAGTTTCTGTATAGAATTTGACTAACTCGGAATCAGAAAAGCAATAAAAGCAATGCTAATACTGTGCGACATCCATAGGATCGCCATAAAGGAAACAAGAAGGCAATGTATGCAAAAATTCATTATACCAACGGTGAACATGACAAATGGTAGGGAGGATACGTAAGAAGCTATACTAAAATAAAAATGAAATTTTGCATGCAAAAAAGCAGTTATGGGTCTTTAGAGTGTGATTAAGACTGCAAGGACATATTAGGTATTATGTTTGTTATACGATGTCATCATGATCAAAATTAAAATGAACCTTCAAAAGAAGTAAAGCTCTCTAGACCAATTCTTACAAGTTACTTACAACCCACCTGAAAAGAAAAAACGGCTTTAATTTGATTCATTTTCAGAAACAGTTGGATTGGCTGCTTTTGTTGTGCTAACAAAGCCCATCAAGTTGATTGGATGTGGATACATTTGTGGTTTGTTGCCTCACTTTTCACTTTATTTTATTATTAAAAGCAATCTAATGAAGCACTTAATCTTGGTAAGGTAACTTCAAAGGCCAGATTAGTTGATCTCAACATTAACGACAAGTAAGGAGAATATTAAATAAAATTGATGGATTGACAAAATAGGATCCCCATAGAAAAAGCTGATATTATGAGCAAAAACTGTTCTTCGAGCAGGTGTAATTGCCATACCAAAGAAAAAAAAGTAACATTTATCTTCATTACTTGATGCAAAGAACATAATATCTTTTAGTCATTACTTACGCTATGCTAAACATTAAATTTTTAACTAACTGCAAGCAATCATATCCTTCTTCACTATCTCATTTGATTTTAATTATAATATCCTATTTTCCCTAACATTTCCGCTGAGAGTGAGAGTGTCACTCTTCATCGTTAGTTCACCTATCAATCTTCCTCACATATGTCCAAATAGTTTCATCGATTCTTTCCCAATTACTTTCAACTGGTACTACTCCAACCTTGGGGCAGATAACAAGTCGAGAAGAGCCTACCAGTCCATAATCAATTGCAAACTTCTGGCTGGGCCACAAACATTCTGTGGCCATTACCTAACCATCAAGCCAGCTCTAATGGGCCTAGATAACTTTCTTCAAATTTGACTTTTTCATTTAAATTTTATCGAGGCAATGGACATTGACCTACTGAACAGACTGCCTTCAAGGCCTTAATTAGGCCAAGACCTTGGGCCTAGCAGACCAAATAGCATGCCAGCCAGGGCCAAGCCAAACCATAGCCCTATAGGCCACCATCTTAGCAAGCAAACCCATGGGCCACAAACCATTTACTCCTTTCATTCCATTAGCACACATCCTTTGTAAAATTCTCATTTCGACTCATTTTTTGAACATATTTCTTAGTTGCCTAGAACTTTATCCCATAATGTGTAGAGGTGTTAATCGAGCTGAATTCGAGCCTAAATAGAGCTGAATTTACACATAAACAAGCTGACTCGTTTGATTATTTACACATAAATGAGCTTTAAAAAATGTTCAAGCTTGGCTTGATTAACAGCCCTAATAATGTGTAGTTAACTTTATAACCAGCCTATATTTTTTTATAGTTTCATTGCAAGGGAACGACTATGTATATCTAATCTCCCCAGACCCTACAATGGCAGTCTAACTGGCTGTCTTTTTTATCATTGGTGTTCATCTAGTGCATAACATATCAATTATTTCTACTTTTGAGGCAACTTGTTTTTATTTTATGAGTCACATCATTTTATTATCAACGCTTAATTTTTTTACCCAAAAAAATTAAATATAAATAATGAAATGACTCACTCAATGAAGTCTCTTGATTTTCATTTTGCAGTTTCACTAGAACATCATTTAATGAATTGTTTTTTCAACTACCGCCCCAATTCAATTTATTATAAAATCCTTTAATCCAGGGCTTCTCTCAAATTTTCTAATCTAACATTAATTCCTTTTTTTATTTTTACATATTTCTTCAACTTTCCCATCCTTCCCTAAAACCCTTGATTCCCCACTTGTTCTCCGCTAACCTGATTACAATCTATTATTTTCCTTTATCCTAACTTAACTAGTTTGCAAATATTCTTCTTGCCACCTTTAGTGCCAAATTTTCTCATGTTGCACCAAAATCAACAATTCCTACACCATGTTAAGCTTTTATATATATCTAGTAAACATTACTGCAATGTTGCTATACCAACAAGTAGTATTATTTTGTCTATCCCAATCAAAAGGGTTTGGGAAGTCCATAACAAGGCTTGATTTATGAAAAAAAATAACTTACACTATGCCATACTCTACAAAAGTTCATAATAATATTTTTGAAGGGTTGCTATTTCATCTTTCATTTAAGAATTACCACACATAATTTCTCCCCCGTACCCTCATCTCTTCTCTTATTCTCGCATTTAACGATCTTCTCATTCATCATTCACGTGTTTCAATGTAGAGCTTATGGTGCAATCAAAGCTAGAGCATCTCAATGTTTATGAACTTGAGAGATGAGGGTATTTCCNAAAAAAAAAAAAAAAAAAAAGGGGGGGGGGGGGATAATATTATCTGAAAAAATTTTGGAGTTCATAACCCAATAAAAGTAAAATAGATGAACAAATAGCACAAAGTCTGACCCATTTTTCACCCTAATACAACATTATTCACTTTCCAAAGCACCATGGTGTTAACGCGACATCTCATATGAAGGAACACCCTTTTAATAACTCGTATATCATCTCATGTTCATTTCCAAGAAATTAACTCAACAAATTTAGCTTTACCTTTGCCTCAGCAAACTCTATTAAGACATGTACAATATATTACAAGCCATATAGCATTTCTAATTCTATCAAATACTACTAAAATTAGGCATAGAATGGTAATGGCATTCTCCTACTACTTTACATTCTAGAAGGTCAAGAACGATTGGATTAAACATATATTAAAGATTTACATGCAATGGGTAAACTTTAGGATAAATATCACCAAGTTAAATTTACTTGTGATTTGTTATGTAGCTTTGTTTTAGCTTATTTGGATATAAACAAGCCTAGCGTAATGGGTGGATTATTTTGTAAATAAAATTAAACTATAATATGCAAAATTGTTCTCCTTTACAACTCTTTTTGTCCATTTTTTATCATCTCTTTGTTCTTTCTCCTTCAATAATTTGCACCAACTACTGTATTGTCGTTAGGTAATGTTGCCGCCCATAACTAGTATTGTAGTCATCATTATCTTTTCCTCCCAAATTGTTGTTAGGCTATTCTCTAAAAATAACCATTAAACATCACGCCAACCAAAAAAGATTGAACTACGACTTTCTCTAATTTTATAGTTTGCTTTCTTCATCATTCATGGTTTAAAATATTGGCCAATATCGATACAAGTCAACCAAGTCGTATCCGATTCAGCACCTTTCGAGACGATTCTGTTACACGATACGTATAAATCTTGAGTCTCACACAACTCGGCCGAGTTATATCCAAGTCAATCCCGAGTTGCCGAGTTAACGTCACTAAGTCAGCTGATATAATTCTGCAATGCCACAGTATGACCTAAATCTCTTGTCATATTCAATATTTTATTTTAAGTCATATCGCTCGATACTGTGCCGCAACGTCGCGATCGATGTGTTTCAAAATTCTCCAAATCAATGGTCAATATCGCAACCTTGAACCATGACATCACCTCATTCGTCATCATCATCCAAAAGATTAACCTTAAATGGTGAAACAGGTATATCAAAAGAAGAAGACCAACAATTGATTGCCTAAGATGGTGGATTGGGTATATATGATTGAAGAACGAGTCGAAGAAAGAAGAGAAATGTTGCAAATATTGGATATTTAATTTGCACTTTAATATCCCATTCCAATTTGACAAGAAACTAGTTAGGGAATATTATCTTGAAAGTAATAAAAAAAATTTAAGAAGAATCTAGAATGTTAGAAAAGTTTCTAGAAAGTTCTAGAAGATTCTAGAAAAATCAAGAATAACCTAGAATAGTCTAAAACAATCTAGAAAAGTCTAGCATATTTTAAAAGGTTCTAGAGAGATTTAGAATGTTCCGAAAGGACTTAAAAAGTTGGAGAAAACTTTAAAATATTAAAGATGAATTTAAATACTTGTGAAATTGTCATGTGCAAAATAAACTTGAAACGTAGAAGGATCTAGGAAAAGGAGAGATGGTAAAATATTCTAAGAAATCTCCCCTAAAAATTTCACATGTTAATATTATCTAAAATAATCTTAGGATGCCTATAAATAGGACATTTGGGAATTGAATTAAGGATACAAGGTAGTCTTCCACTTTCAAGAAGGAATAAAGAGCAAAAGAGAGAAGAAGGAAGGAAGAGCACTTCATCAAAGGAGAAAGGAAATCGTGAGAGAAAGAGGAAAAGCATCGATTACATTTCACACTATTTTGGGTAACAAGCAACACTCAAGAAACATATCATTTGGACTTGAGGTGAGTGGTTTAGCATGCTACGTATTTTTTCCGTATCCCTAAACATTTTAAAAAAATGATACATAATGTTTGTTCATTACTACCTTTACAAAATATTTTACTAAGTGTCTAAATACTTGTAACATACGATTCTCCTTACCTTGATGAATTCTTTTGTGAAATATTGTGACTCAATCACTTGTTTATATGGTGAGACTTTGTGATAGTGAATAGGACCATGATTGAAAGTTTAGAAAAATTATTCCTTTGTGTGTGAATGACCCTAGCCTCTAGGGAATAAATTCGGGGGAGGCTGAGGTGACCCTAATGCTCAATGGTTGAAGGAACAATTCTTGGTGCATCCTGGTGACCTTCACCGAATCGTCTTAAGGAACAATTCCCGAGCGACAACACGTGGTGACCTTAAGTATGATGTTGAATCCAACCCTGAGATATATTTTGGCATTTGGTACTAAAAGTCCTGGAAAACTATTCCTCCATGTGCGGGTGACCCTGACTACTAGGGAATAGACCCGAGAAAAGCTGAGGTGACCCTAATGCTCAACGATTGAAAGGACAGTTCTTGGTGCATCCTGGTGACCTTCACTGGATCGTCTTAAGGAACAGTTCCTGGATGGCAACCCGTGGTAACCCTAAGTACGATGTTGGATTCACCGTTGAAATCTTCTAGCATTTTGTATGGTTCCCAGATATCGTATATCATCACTATGAGATGATGATATAATTTGTTATTATCACAATGTTTTTTTTACTGACTTTGTTTATGATTATCTATCATATGCTATACGTATTTTCTTGTATTTGGTATTTGGTTCCCATCAATTATTGGATATCGTACAGTCTCCACCATTATGATATGATTCACCGTTGTGATATGATTTCTTATTGGAATCCGATTGTGTTATTCTTGAGAAATTGGTTATTTTGATGAAGTTACTTTTTCAAATCTTTGATTTACATGTCGCATGTCAAATATGTTTTTCAGTCACTTTGAATATGCATGCCTTTCCATTCACTAGACTCTGCAACTCATGTTTTCAAAATAATATTTTTTCTAGGTAAACGATTAGAGTGTTAATAACGGACTCAAGAAATTGATTGGGGACTAACAGTGTTATGACCTCCGTAGCATAAATCGTATAGCCCTCTTTACTTGTTTGGATAATTGGGGCAAACAAGTATGTTGACTTTGATATATTGACATGAGATCAATTTAGTGTTAATGTTATTTTCTACTCCTATATTATTAGTTTATTATTAGGCTTACGTATTTCATAGGTTATGGATCTATGATTCACGGCTAGTCATGCCCTTGGAGTTGGGGTGTGACATGCACTATGCCCAAACATTGTATAGTTAATTTGCACTATACGCACCGAAACGGAATGCAACTTGGCTTAGAGAGAATGTAATACAAGACCACATAGTAGTTAAGTGACCATATGTTTTTTGATTAGTTCCCTTCCAAGAGCAAATACATGTTGGACTAGCATGTAGAGAAGAACTACTAGATATCTGTTGTTGACTGATAGGGTTCAAATAATAGGTTGGGAGGTATGAGGGGCATCATTCCCCATGATATAGCGCACATATATTAGGGATTTCCAATGTATGTCTAGCATAAGTTTTGCCAAAGTTTAATATATTTCTCCTATTAGGTTAGGTTTAAGTGATTGACAACGATTTGGGGTTTTCAACTAGTGCCAATAAATAAGTTGTAACCATATTGGGATTCTCATTTTCCAAGACAGTCGTTTTTGTGGTTGTACATAGAAGTTCTAGTCAACCACATAAATCTCACATTACTATTCTTGATTGTTTTTCTTTCATTTTTCACTGTATTGCACGTTCGCCCAAACTTATTAGGCTATGTATCATTAGACTCTCTTATCTCTGAACAAATGGTATCTGAGTCAATAGCTAATGGCCCTAATTAAATTTGCCAAGCAGTATAGTGTGTCAATAATGGTGATGGCTCTTAAAAAAGAACAAGATGATCTCTTGGACTTGAAGTCGTGGTAGTGTTTAGTGAGTTACTAGGCTAGTCTTTACCCAATAATGATGCAGTGTCCCAAAAAAATAGCCCAAGCCATTGGGCAGTAAAATAGTTAAAATAATCTTGGTTCTTGGAAAAGTATGGTTTGATGAAGAGTGATTTAAAAATGCTACTTATAAAGTGTAGTGGATAATACTCAAGGAGGAGCTAATCACACATGAGGGAAACATTGTTGGATATTATTTATGTGAGAATCCTACATAAGGACAAAAAAAAAGGTGGAAGGGTTCTAGTATAATATACATGCACTTACTATAAGCTTCTAATATGAGGCCTTGCATCACATTATCACTGACCTTCGCTATCTCCCAACAAGAAAGAAAAAGAACGAGTCAAAGAAAGGACAAGGGCTACTGACTTTTTCCCCACCCTCTTTCTACTCCATTTCGAGAGTCGATTCTGCATCTCTCTCTCAGCCTTCTTATTCTCCTCTACCTCTCCTTTGTGTGAAATTGTGAATGAAAAAAGAGGGTATCATCAAGAGTTTAACCCTCGGCAACAAACTAGGTTGGGACTACTCAGGCCATCAATCAATGGCCCATGGCAAGCCATTGAATAGTTAACGGGGCAAGCCAAGCTAGCATGCCCAAAAATTCTATTTGTCAATCGAAACAGGCCTACTAAGCCTTTAGAGGAATGCCCATCAAGCTAGCCTAGTTTTTCAAATTCAATATATTTTTAACCTTTTGCAATTAGTTAGGCTAAGAGGTTGAGCCATGAGCCTACCCAATGGGCCATCTTTAATGACCTTAATTGATCCTAATGGGCCAAAAACAATGCCCCGTTGGCTTATCTATCGGGTTATCGTACCAAAAGGTGGCAATCCAAGTAAGGTCATAGCCAAGTGGGCAAAAAGCCCAGCCTTTGATCTAGGGTCATTTCCCAATGCTGAAAGTTGGTGGAGGAGGTTGCCAATGGTGGCTCTTAAGAAAAAATGCCACCAATTGTCTCTAATTTGCAATCATACATGTCCCTCATAATCAATTATACCCAAAGTCATTAAAACGTGTATTGGAAGGCGTATTGTTTTCCAAAAAAGTTGTATCATAAGATGTGTACGATATTATAAGAGATATTAAAAATGCATATACCTAGAAAAAATGTCAGAATAACTTTTCATTGCACCATAAATTTTGCACATAAAATAATTTAAAAAGACTACAAGGACTAAAATAAAAAATTAACAATCTAAGTATTCAAGTTTCTAACATAATTCATCAATATTAAAATTTAGAAAGTTCTAAATCTAACATCTAAACAATTAAATTATTTGATCCAGCGATGGAACAAATAACAAAAGATATCTATTTTTTAAAGCCCTAGATTGCATTACCTAGTGTTTACACAANATTCCAATTTGACAAGAAACTAGTTAGGGAATATTATCTTGAAAGTAATAAAAAAAAATTAAGAAGAATCTAGAATGTTAGAAAAGTTTCTAGAAAGTTCTAGAATGTTAAAAAAAAAATTTGACCTATTTTGTCTTATATCAAATGACTCGTATGTATCGTTTGTATTGATTGTATCATATCATATATCAAATGATACAGNAAAAAAAAAAAAAAAATTTGACCTATTTTGTCTTATATCAAATGACTCGTATGTATCGTCTATATTGATTGTATCATATCATATATCACATGATACGGTACAAAATTAATACACTTAACTGATATGTATTGATTGTATTAATTGATATGATTGTATCATATCAATTACGTTTCATTTTTTTGATATATCAACACATATCGTACAATATTTATCACGTATCGTACGATATTAACAACTATAATTGCACCAAAAATCTAAACAATGGGTAATGATTAGACCATTAAACACACATTTAAAACTTTGTGGACCAAATTAGTGCAATTGGTAGTTGAGGACCACCGTGTAAATGACTACATACTTTGACAACTACTAGCTTGTAACTGTAACATGAAACAGTTGGTTATGAATTCTCACAAAAGCTCAAGTGGTTGGACAACTACACCTAACGATGTATATCAAGATCTTAACGATCTTTTTCATGTGAAATCCCCTTTTGTAATGGCTGAACAAAAGAATAGAAAACATTTAGACAAACTTAAGTCAAACATAAGGAATCTAATCTCAATGCTAGAGCTTTTATTGTTCCAAAAGTTTCAGTATCAGAAACTGCATATAAATGTATTGACATTAATTTCTCAATTGCATTTATTTTCAAGTTATGGAGATGACCAAAAGAGTTTTAACATGTAACACATGTCCAAAGTATCAAAGATGTACATGTCCCATAAACAAACATATCGCTTTCTCAAATGCGTTATTGTTGTGCAAGCAAAATAAACAAGAGTTACTCATGGGCATGCATAAGAGTAATGGAAGCACAACTTGCCTTTACATAAGCAAAATCACCAAGATTAAAGACACACTTTTCAATTTCAGCGTTAGAATAATGGCATTTTACATTCAAAACCAACTCATCATCATCATTGTCACCATCATCACTGCATAAAACATTTGCCATATTCAGCTCCAAATAAAACAAAGTCACATGTGCATTCGTACTTCAAAGGAACAAATATATTAAGAAAATATTAAAAAAAACAAAAACAAATCCTAATAAATGATTACTAACTTAAATCTTGAAGTGTGTCCCTTTTTTAGCATGCCCTACAAAACCAAGCAAAAAAAACAAAATATAAATTATTAATGCAAAAGTAAATGTAAACAGGATTTAGGAGTCCTAACAATATCAATCATTGCAATATAATTCATTCGAATAAGTACTGAAATTGATCAACGACCCTAACAATGTCAGCCAATAATCAACAACCAATCTAGAATATATATCCACAAAATTCCAAGGCAGCAGATTACTACAATCAATATGAAAGGCTTTTTAGATGATAAAGTAATATCAAGACATTTCTAAAGAAAGTTTGGCAAGAGCAACCCAACCAATGAGGCAAAAGCATTGTAATAAAATCACCATCATCAACAACATCCATCACCATAGTAGAGGTTAAATACTTGGCTTGTTTAGAAACCTTTCTCCAAGAGCCACAGTGAGGCTTCAAGTAGAAGCCATTACATTGCCTATCGGGTTGAATTGCAGCACCTTTATGCGCACTTCATATATTTCTTTAATTTAAAGAGCAGGACAAGTGATTCCACGGCTATTTTTATCCCTTTAACTTTCTTTGAGTCTGATTTTTCTTTTTGCCTTTTGTGGCGTTTAGAGTCTTTGTCATCTCGTGGACTTTTCCATTTTTAGTTACAATACCATCGTGTTTCCTATCAAAAAATATGAGGAACACCGNTAACTTTCTTTGAGTCTGATTTTTCTTTTTGCCTTTTGTGGCGTTTAGAGTCTTTGTTATCTCGTGGACTTTTCCATTTTTAGTTACAATACCATCGTGTTTCCTATCTAAAAATATGAGGAACACCGTAAATATATTGAAAGAAGACTTCATTCACACTAATTACATAGAATCCGTTTAGGGTTTACAACTCAAAACAACAAAATTCAAATTCCAAGACAAAACTTAATAGCAAGCAATACATAATAATCAAGACATGCATGTATAAAAAACCTTTCATTACATGCAACAAAGCACATAATGAAGAAACGTATGCAATGTNATATTGAAAGAAGACTTCATTCACACTAATTACATAGAATCCGTTTAGGGTTTACAACTCAAAACAACAAAATTCAAATTCCAAGACAAAACTTAATAGCAAGCAATACATAATAATCAAGACATGCATGTATAAAAAACCATTCATTACATGCAACAAAGCACATAATGAAGAAACGTATGCAATGCAAAACTTGAAGATACACCACAACATGAACAACACAAAATGTACCTTATTTTCGTACCTCCAAGGCCATCTTTGTCGAGCCTCATCCTCGGGCACGGGATCTCCAATGAAGAAAGACACAATGCCGGACCCTTTTCCCTTGTTCTTCCAAGATTCGGGTATCTTTTGCTTCTTTGCTGGTGGTTCTTGACCATTTACGAGTAGTCTTGGTGATCGTCTGCATGAGCTTTGAGTTTGACTCGACGAAATTAGAGTGTGATTTGAAGATAAATCTTGGGAAGCTGAGGTTTTAGGGCTCCTATTTTGGGACAATGGCGACGGAGATGGCGACAATGGGAGCTTAGATAGTCTAGGGGAGACCTTTCGGTGGTTCTCCGCCGTCATTGTCGACGTCCGAGCTCTGAGGAACCCTAATTGGGAATGAGTTTTGGAGTGGATTGACTAAAGATTGGTATTGGTAAGGAGGCGGCCTTTTTCGGTAAATTCACTGACCATTTTAGGAGGGAATTTTAGGCGGGAGTGAGCCAAAACGGAAAGGCAATAAATAATTGGAGGTTTTTGCACCTCCAACAAATACTTTAAATTCTCAACTTAAACTTCAAAAATTTTAAAACTTTTAAAAATGGGGCCCCAATTCATATAATAAAATATTCAAAAATATTATTGGAATTTAAAATATTTACATGATTTATTAATTTAATTAATTATAACTATTGAATTGATAATAGATCACGATAAATATTGGAACCTACATATAAACCAATGACAGTGATTAATTAAGTTAATATTATAAGTAGGGATGTCTATGAGTTTGGTCAGGCTTTAGGTAGGCGTAAGTTATCTATAGCCCATCCCATCACTCATAAATTTGTTAAGCATTATGTTTAACTAAAATAGGGAAATATTATTTGAATTTAAAATATTAACTTAATTAATTATAATTATTGAATAGATAATAAATTTTAATAAATATTAAGGCCTAAGTTAAATCAATGACAGTTATTATGTCAGCATAATAAGTAGGGGTGTTTTAGGAAGGCCTGGGCTTCAAATAATGGTAGACTACTCGCAGCCCAACTTGTCTCGTTAGGTGGACCTTTTTTATGACGTAATTTTTTCCTCCGTTTTTAAATACCTGTCGTTTAAAGTTTTTACACAGGAATTAATGAATCTATTAAATAACTCTAATATGAGTACAAAATAATTGCACAAAATTAAAATACTCTTATTCAATAACTCTAATATGAGTACAAAATAATTGCACAAGATTAAAATACTCTTATTCAATATGTATTGAGAAGGAAATTAATATGAAAGACACTTAGTCTCCACCAAATCTAATGCATTGAAAAATTAAGGATAAATTTGGAAGAAAAAATATTAATTAAGTTTTGGTTTCATTAAACGACAAATATTTAGGAACGGATAAAGTATTACTATTTTTTTTGGTAAAGTTAGAACTAAAAATGAAGAAGTTACAATTGGTCAGGGGAAGTCTATGATCGATCATGGACTTCCCTAAGCAATTGCAATTTTTTATATTTGAGTTGTAATTTGACTTTTAAAAAATTATAATTTACACATCAAAAAAATTGTAACTTACACATCAAAAAAGTTGTAACTTAACCTGAAAATTTTGTAACCGGTGGTACGGTACCACCTTCGATACCGTAGACTTTATTTAAAACTTTTTTTTATATATATACAATTTTATTTAAAAATTTACAATTTAAAATTTTTGTAAATTATATTTTTAAATTAAAAGTAAATTAAAATAGACAAAAAGTAAATAATGAATAACTCTATTCAAATAAAGTAGAGTCATATATTTTCAGCAAATTTTTAAAGTTTCAATTGTCAACTCTTTTTCAAATAATTGGGTGGAAGGAAGGGTGGGCTCTTTGGAGGATTTTGAGTCTAGGAATGAGGTTGGGGCAAATCCAAGTATATTAGGCTCAGACGGATTAATTATCATATTTATCAGGCTTTGGCCCTATCTTTTGGGGCTAGATAACAAAACTCATTAGTCAATTCGACCCATAGNAGTGAATGCTCTCACCAACCGGGTTAAAAAATCTCGTCCTCACAATGGGCAAGTAATGCTGATATTTACAGCACAGTATCCTCAAGGTGCCCGCTAAGACCCTCTTACACTTGCGTCAACCCATAAGATACCAATGACTGTTAACCGCGAGCCACATGTTTCAACATTAATTAGACATTTGTGGCGTTCCCCCCAAATATAGCCTGGACATGACTCCGAAAAGGTGCAACAGTTGAGGGAAAAGGGGACTCCCAAGGTTAATGATCGTGATACCCCAAGCGTACTCTTACCCGAGGACTTCTCTTCCCTCCCTAAGCCCTTCCTCAAGAGTTCGAGATGCTTAATAGAGAAAACTCACATAATTTTAGTGATTTAACCACTAATTCACATTTCTCATTATCTCATATGTTGATTTGGACGAATAATCCAAGTTACCTTAAGAGTCCCTCTAGGTTCCAGTCAAGCACATTCTATTGGGTAGGAAGTCATACACTGGAAGACTTATTCAAGTAAATTAAACCTTCGAAACTCTGCATTAGGCTGAGATTGACAATTATGTTCGTCCGCCTCTGTTGTTTAGTCTCTCTTGGAGTGTCATATTGCCATATTCTTAGGTGAGGATCTCTCCTCTTATTCCAATGGATTGTGGGTTAGTCGAGCAACGGTGTTTAACAATTTATCGAGCTTTATTTTTATGTTAACTAATAATTGTTATCACTTATTCTGTTACGATATAAAGGTTGAATTTTCACAATCCGTCGTAGAAATTAACGGGGCTTGCATTATATTTGATGGAGCTTCATGGGAAAAGAAAAAAATAGTCTGGGGCGCTTCATGGGTTTTGGCTGGCTGATTAGTTGCATACCAATGATCATAAACGGCTCTAATAAAAATTGAATAAATTTTAACGAGATGACCTCTCTGATTCGGGTCGGTTTCTACATGTGATACTAA